TCTTTGGTTCGTAAAAGCATTTTTATTCTTGTCTTCATAGCACTTGAAAATCCTCCCAGTCTCAAGCCTCATTGAAATATAATAAGTAGATTTTCTAGTCCATCATTCATGTGGTTAATAAAAACATTATACAGACTGGAATCCTGAATCATTTTGCATAGTATACAACTTGCATAAATAAATTAATTCCTGACCATTAGAAGTGTTTCTTTTGTCTGTTCTTTTGGATTTTAGTATGAAGTGACAGTAAGTATAGTAAGATACTTGTGCAGATTTTCTTGGTACTTCTTACTGGAAGCATTAGGACCTTAAGCCCTGATCTTGCAGCTGTGAGCATGTTTGTTAAGAGACTGTTGTATTCACTGTCTCTATATTAAGGAGACTTGATTGAGGTAGTAGGTTGTTGTGGACTGGAATTCAGGCAGGCTTTGCCAGGGAAGAAGTTTCATTTCATGAGTTTTTCTTTTCCAGAGAAAAGTTCTGCCTCTCCTCTTTGTAAGGAGCAACACGTTATAGTGGAGGATATATAAGTTGGCAATCCTAGGAATTACTTGATGCAGATCAAATGAAAATGTACAGAATAATTACCAATGTGGAGCAAATGCCGTTAGGTTTAACCTGTATTTTTTTAATCTGAGAGTTTAATTTTAGCGTGTATAGTTTGAGTGATATTTTTTTTTCTGATGTTAAAAGTACTGCCCTGTTATTTGTATAACGGATTAGTTTGCCAAAAAAAGAGAGGAAAAACTACTAATAGCAAAAGGGATTACTCTTTATAAATATTACTGTTAAAGAATGTCATTTAATCCACTGCTCTAATAAATTATTTTAAAATGTATTTTATTGCCATAATTTATTAAACAATAAGGAGACATTTTGGCTGCAAATAGTGATAACATCTCTCTAGAACTGTATTTGGATAGTAATTTTTTTTTCTGACACAGTAGATAATTAGGAATTATAAATTACGCTTACACTCTTAGGCACGTTAGTTGGAGAGTATATCAGACTCTGTGTTGTTCTTGGTGCCAGTTCAGGTCTTGATTTTTAAAAATTCTTGCACTGAAACACATGATGTGTTTCATTTTCTAGCAGCAAAGCAGAAGTGTATTGCTTACCTGAGAGATATAGACAAAACCCTTGCCACCAGTTTATTTTTTTGAAGGAAGTTTAATTCATGTTTGTAAGTGAGAAAGTAATTATTTTCAGCTGCTTTGCTGGCACCTTGTTCCTAGTGGCAAGATAATCTTGTTTCAAATGCTTCCTGTAAAAGCAGTGATAATTTTTTAGCAGACTCACTGGATAGCTAAAATAAATTGCTTCTGTCAATCAGGGTTTGTTACTCCATAGGAAACTTGGCATATGATGACAGGGTAGCATAACAACTTTCACATATGTGGGCAAACCAGTGCATGATATGTAATAAGTGGGATATGATACTGTAGAATTCCTAGTCTATCCTGAGAGGCAGTTTCATAAATGCTTGGATCTCTTCACTTAGATTCCTTACCCGCATGGGCAAGATATTTTTCAACCTCTGTCTTCCAGGGTCCTAGTTGGAGGCAAGATCCTAGGCCATGCAGAAGTAAAGGAGGAGACTTCCTTAGGTGCACTGTCACAATCTGCATCTTTATTTTGTGCTCTGAAAAAATAATAATAAAACCTTTTGGATTTCTCTGTCTTCCCTCTGCACAGAAGTAGTTAACAAGGATATAAGCATGTATCATTGGATAAAATACACAGTCCTGCTTTGCTGAACTCTTGTTAACTCAGATGCCTAGTTAAATGCCACTGGATTATGCATTTGAGGTTATTAATATTCAGATTATCCACGATAATAGGACACAGCTAATGTGCCTTCATCTCCCAGGAGTGTCTGTGCAGACAGGTGCAAACTTGCTCTGCCCACACTCTGAGCAGGCTGTATGTGAGCCAGTTCCAGTCTGGAAGCCATCAGCATGTTGTGTGGCACTATGCCCTTGTCTCTTAGATAAATGAGGCTTCACAGCTTCTGAACTGAAGCTGACTGCAGCTGGGTGGCTTTGAGAGTGCTGGCAGTGAGAGTTTGCATTCAGCTGCCCATTTGTATAGATGGTGTTCTTCATTCCACATTGCTATGGAAGCACTTCAGTAGGAATCCTCATCTTTGTACTCTTGTGCAGTCATCTCTCAGCATTCCCAGTTTTAAGGTCCTCCCAACTCCACTTAAATTAACTATAAAGATAAGAATTAAAAAATATATTGACAAGTTTTGGGGGACTGGTTCAAACGTGTATGTGCTGTGATTCAAATCTCAGTGGAGCACTTGTGGAGTCATATGACAGCAGCTATTTCACATGACTATGAACCATTATTTCCTGGAAGTACTTGATATGAATCTTCAGTTCCTGGAATTAAGTGTTTGGTTACATATCTTCCCAAAATAGGAAAATCCCCATCAGCTGAGAAAACACGTGCTAGGGACTGCAGAATCTTGTGGGTTTGGAGTCTGCAGAATCCAGTGTGAATTTTTCAAAGCGTGTTGACTGGCTCTCCTCTCCCATGGAAGGTTTTACCTCATCTGCTGCTTTAAGCAGGGGTAGAGAGTGTTGCACAGTTGAACAGTTGTGACTACAAGAATGCGTAATCACTTTGCCTGGCAATACAAAAAAAAATATGAATGTGAGGGAATCCTATGTTGAAATGATACCAAATAATTCAGTACTTTTGACTGTTCTTCCTTACTAGTCAGGTTTGTACTTTTACTGTCAGTTTTGAGGCAGTGAAATGATCTCCTCCTTCAGAGGAGATAGAAAATTTCAGTATAACTTCATGTAGTTTTCAAGTTAATTTAAAACTTTTATTCTATATGTGGCTTTTTACAGCTGTAATATGTGTTACTCATAATTAAATAGCATTATATATAATTAAACTCCTCACAGATGGCAAGTATTTACTGTGAAATTTGCTGTTAGAGAGCAGACATCATATTTGGTCTGGCTGGCATGGAGTTAACTTACCTAATTTAAGAATGAATCTAAATATATTCTAAAACCTTGGGATTTCAGACATGTAGATTTGTTTACCTGTTGTCATTCTGAGTGTGTTGTGTTTGTGATGGTTATGTCAATGTTTATCTTCAGATATTAAGTATATCTTTGCAAATGATTATTATGGTATAAATGGATTTTATAATTTTTAATAACGTCCAAAAGAGCAACAAAATTGTTGCTTGATGGAAGTTAAAAATTGGAATATGTTCTTTGATATAGACCACTGGAACATTGTCAAAATTTCTGACTGCCCTTTCTTTATAATTTTAAGACAGTGTTTTATCAGAAAACTGTAGAGGAGCTAAACTAATCTTATTTCATTTGGAAGCAAGTATTCTATGCATATATGCAGGGTGCTGTTTCTGTTTCTTTGACTTTAAAGTCACAGAATACCTGTCTAATGGAAGGTGTCCCTGCCCATGGTAGGGGGTGGGAACTATCTTTCTTTGAAAATACCTTTCTTATCTTTAAGGTTTAGAGAAACTTTAAGTTTTAGAGAAAAACAATATAACTATATCTCATTTCAAATTAGCATTATGGGTATGCAACCCTCTGATAGAGTTTTTTGTTTCATACTGGTTATTGGAAATAATTCATAGCTTTCATTTAAATTAAGACTGTTGGAGTCTTATGGCATTCTCTTTTAAACATCATTTAACTGTGATTAGAATGAAGACAGAATAATAAATGAGACTGTTTAAGTGTATGAATAAAATGCAACTGTTTATCTAAAATTGATCCATGTCGCATAACTTCAAGTAAAATAAATGGGTTGTTTTTCTTTGACTCCATCAGAAATATTGTCCTATAAATATTTATGTTAATACATTAGGAACTTTGAAATAAAAGTGAAATAGCTTTCTTGACATTTTTGCTGGCAAGCAAAGGACTATGAGAATTCCAAACCTTTAGCTCACCTTGACTGTATGAAGTTCATGTGCCTTATTCTTACATTTATTAGCAGTTGGAGCCTAAGGTTAATTTATGAATCATTTATCCATGTTTATTTTTAATGATTGATCTTATATAGCTCTGGAAAAAGGCATAGGCCATAACATATTCTGTTCTAAAAGCTATTAGGTCTTATATGCTTTTCCTTGGCTGATAAGTCATAGTCTATCATTGAATGCATCGCAGAAGGTGAATATATTTCTTTTATTTATGAAATTAAAGGGCAGATTATGGCCTTGCCAACATGACCATTTGAGAGTATATGATCCTGCAAGATCTGTGCTTCCAACTGCATGTTGTAAAAGATGCTTTTACCCTATATCCTGAGGAACTATGATGTGCCCCTGCTAGAATCTACGTAATCCTATATGATTCTGAGTGCTGTAAGATTCTGCTTGCTTTATGGAGATTGACAGGAAAAGATTTCTCATGAACAACTAGATTGAGAAACTTATTTTCTAGATTTTATATTTTACTTCTAGAAATATGTTTTTGTGGTGACATGATGAGTAATAATGACTGTATAAGAAAACAAGTAAATACGAGGAAGAGGTTCAGAGATTTCTGCACTGAGGCCTCAGGGTACAAAATTAACAGAATAATACAAACATTTCTTTTTATCTGTCTCACTTTGCTTTTTATTCTTCAATCTGTATGATTTGAATAAATCACAACAGATTAATGTAAGATATTCTAGAATTCAGGAAAGTGAATTGAAAAATAAATATCAAAGACTTTAAAAAGCAAGAAATTTCACAGAAATACTGTTAGATATCATATTGCAGTAAAATAGACTGGGATAAATGTGTTCTGAAGATGCAATGAAAACTTATAAAGAGGACTTTTTTGGCTGATCAGTTTATTTCTTGATTTGTTAGACTTGACAATGTAATTTACTATTCAGAAAGTAGTTTGTTCTACTAATGATTGAAAGAAATGTCTCAGTGTGATATAGTACTATATTCTGTCTTAATAAGATGGTAACAATTTTTATTTTATCCTATTTTATTTTATCAGACAGGAAGCTTTGCTTGCTGCAATTAGTGAAAAAGATGCAAATATTGCCTTGCTTGAGCTGTCTGCTTCAAAGAAAAAGAAGACTCAAGATGAAGTAATGGCACTTAAACGAGAGAAGGACAGATTAGTACATCAGTTAAAACAGCAGGTGGGGAGATACCAATTTTCTGTTGCCATGAAAGCATGAAAATCAATATTATTTTAATTTGTGCTGTTTTATTCTGACCTCATATTGGAAGTGTTTAAGCCAGGTCTGACATGTGACAGCAGTTACAAAAGGTAGGAGGTGTTCAATGTAAGTGTTTATTGCTTCTCTGTAGTTGTTAAGTATTTAGCTGCACATTTTCTTGGTTCATATTATATGCAGCCAATACACTTTCTGTTTTTCCTCCTCATATAGTTTCCAACCTTCTTCATTGTGTGAGAGAGAAGAGCAGATGCTCTTTGCATAAAGCAAGATCTATCCATTCTGTTGACTCTTTTAAACCTCCTTCTGTTCAGTTATTTGCTTATCTGTTCTAAAATAACTGTGTTTTCTGAAGGTTTCAAGCTTTCTGAGAGGTTATCTGGAAACTGTGATTATCCTTAAAATAAATTCTCAAATGAGTAAAATTCACCCTGTCTTCAACACTGTAAGTTATTGGAGGTTTTAATAAAAAACCACATAGATTAAAAACTCCAGAATTAGATATCATCACAAGCAAATTTATGTTCTGCTTTGTTAATGAGGAAAACAACTCTACTAGATGCAGTACATATGTACCAAGCACAGTGCATAAGTTTCTTTTCTGTCTAATTAAAAGGTTTAAGTCTGTATACTGTGCAGTGGCTACTTTCCTGGATTAAAAGGGCTATAGACATAGTCAGAGGTGGTACTATAGGCAAGGGGACAAAGGCTGTTCAGATAACCTGGGTGCTGAAAACCTGTGGTGTGTATCATGTGTGTTGTTAGACACCCTTCCTCTTTCAGAACAAATGAAATAGATAACAATGATTTTCTCCAGACCATGTCTACAGGTTTTGTATGTAATGTTTTCCTTTGTGTGACATTATGGAAGTCTGTGATTGTTGCTTGAGGAGGAGGAGAATACAATTGGAAAAATCATTTTGGTCTTCTTAGCCTGTCACTGTAAGCACTGTGCAGGCAGGCAGAGTGCCATTGTATATATAAGCATGCTGTGCTAATAATTTTTAGAACATATTGCATAGTCAGTGTTATGATTCTTTACTCTGAGTCATGCACTACATGCTGTAGAACTCCATGCACTCAATAACAGAAACGTAAGGAAAATCATTGCTGCTATGCTGAATTCCCAATAGCTCTGACCTCATGTGTCTAATCATTATAGGCTTTTTCCCACAGGGCTATAAAAATAGGAAACAGCCCCTGAGCATGAACTTAGCATCCAGTCCTCATGCTGACTTCAGTTCAGGCATTCCAGCCAGGTACCTGTGTTCCAGCCATGATGCAGTCATGTCTCAGGTCAATCAGCTGGCCATGGGAAATGTACCCAAAATTTATATACTAAATAGGCAGATCTGCTTCATGCTTTATAGCACTTCATCTCACTGTGCTGCAGCAGTGCAGATGATGCTAAATTCCAGATTATTGTAGGGATTTTTGTTTTGGTTTGCTTTGGAAAAGGGAAGGCAGTTATTTTCTTCTTTAGTCTTCTCTTTTTTTATCTTCATTTTATGTTACTGATAAGTAATTGAATATACCTCTTTGCCATGTTTCATGGTAACTGTCATGGATATTTTTAGAATGTTCATCAGAGACTTGGGCAAGTGGTTTTATGTTGTTGTTTCTGTTTTTATTTGGTTTTGTACCTTTAAGGTATTGCTAAAAAGTGTTCAAAACATTCATAACTTTCTTCAGACAGGGAGAAGGAACAGCAGAAGAGGCATTATTTTGGATAACTTCAGTTAGAATTGTAACCAAATACTTCAAATACCTCCATTATTTATAGTGATAAAGATCTTCAGTAAAGCTATTTAACTAGATTAAATTGATGCCAAAATAATCTCCCTGTTATCTCAGACACCACAAAAAAAGAGACACCAGGAACAGGAATGTGGTTTAACTAGGTCACCACTTTATTACACTTAAGAATTATCTGATAATAGGGGTTGTAGACATCACTCATACTTCTTTTATCCCTTTGGGAAGAACCACTGTCAACCTCCAAAGTTTTCACATGTGCATCCAACACAAAGGCTTGTTAGTGCAGCTCTTCCTTGCTGTGACTGTGCTGGGCCAGGGGCGAAGGGACAGGTTCCACACTGTGAGACATCTGCCCAGTTCCTCAGCTTCTTTGAGATATGCTGTCTCTCAATCTATTTCTGATTCACTAGAACTTCACTGAATGATCAGCTGAACCATCAGTTTTTTGTTTCTTCTGGTGTTACTTGTCCCACCCTCTGTTTCCACAGCTGTTACACTGCTCAGAGAAGAATACAAAGCGCAGCTTCTCCAGCCCAATGTGATCATGAAAGGAGAAATATTTATAAATATTAGAAGATGACCCACTAGATAATGCTAAGTATTAGACCCCTATATCCATTCCTGTTCTATACTATAGGAGGAATTTTTGCTTTGAGAGGCAAAATAATGTGATAGTTCATGATAAAAATCTATATTCCTTTCATGTATATCCACATTGTGTTGCAGATAAACTCTTCCTTCCTTCAGCAATTCAGACATTCTGATACATTTGTAACTTAGAGGAAATTCTATTCTCAATTTGCACATTAGTAATGTGACGTAAAAACTGATACTGAACATAAAAATTAGTTATATCTGTTGGGTGTTGCTACAAAATTGCTACTATTGCAGGTGCATTAATTTTAGGAGATGGCTTCATTAAATTCATTAAATTATCTTCTACTGTGTTTCAAAAGAAAATTTTTTTCATCGGCTTAAAGCAATTTTCTGTCTTCCTTTTGCGATTCCTGTGCTGCTACTTGTGTTCTCCAAAGGTTGCTGAGAAGTGTACTCTTCAGAACCAAAGTTTCCTTTAACCATTGTGTTAGACCTGCAAAACTGAAGGGCAGTTGTTGCAGTGTAAAGAAGCAGTTAATATGGATAATGTTTTAAATCATGTCACCAAGTTACTGGGAAATAATTTGTACTTATTTTAGAGTGCTAACTGAAGTTAGAAATGTGCTTGAACATAATTTCACCTTGCCTGGAAGCCTTCATGCGTTGTTGCAGATGTCAGCAAAGTTCATATAGAAGCAGCATCCAAGAGTTTCTTTAGATAATCTTGTATTTTCCTCATTACACTGCAGAGTTCATGTTGTGATGCTGCAACGGAGCTTCTAATTGCATCTGCTCTCCTTATCTCCTCCATGTCTCCCGAGAACATCTTGTTTTTGAAAGACTTGTAATTTCAGTAAAGAAGCAATAATTTGAAATCAGCCTTCAGTGAGGATGGGCTGTACCATTTGAAGTAGAACATATTATTTCAATCAAGTTTGTTTTGTGACTTTCGTAGACAAGTGAATCACTGTATCATCATATATCTGTCAGTTTGATTTGCTTTTGGCTTTTGTTTGCAGTTTGGGGAGTTTCTACCTCAGAAACTCTGCTGCTGTCTCTTTTGCTGGCATCCTAGACTTTGTCACATAGTTGATAAACTTCAGTTCCATATTTTTAGCAATTTCAAATGTTGTACTATGGATCATTGCAATAGGTAATACCTAAAAAAGTACATTATACACCAAGCCAAGGATGCTGGTTTGCTCCTGATATTGAAATGGTGGATGCATTGACCAAGGTAGGATTGCTGTAGCTTGGAACGTCCCCTGCTGATACAAAAGAGTAAGTAAAAAGGGCTTTTCTTGAGAGTTACAAATGCTACTACTTGAGAAGGAGAAGGAGAGGTATGTAAGTGAATTCATCAGAATCCAAGAGTTCTGATTGTATACATGAAATGACCCAGAATATCCTCTTTGAGGACTAAGAAGGGAAGTCACTGTCCTTCCCTGGAAAATACTGATGTAAGTATATTTCCTAGAGTAATTTTTTTTCATACAGAAATTGTGAATACTTTTGCTTAATATTTCCATGTGCAGGAGGGGGCCAAATACTGCTCTTTCACCTAACTCTGATGAGACTAGGAAGAGCTACAATTGAAGTGAAGTGTTATGGAGTTTTAAATGATATAGTTTGCAACACTTACAAGTGCTTACCTAGTTGGAACATCAAAATCTTTGCAAATTCATGTACTGCTACTCAGAAAGCTGCACAAGAGCTGTGGTGGCTCCCACCACGTTGAGGTCATTGTAGGCATCGAAAGCCTGCTTCATGTTTAGAGAGATAGGGCACAGTGTGTAGTAGATGTCTTAAAGGTTCAGGAGGTCAATTCTATTAAACTCAGTGAAGTAACCCAAAGTATTGAGATTACTCATAGAATTTTATTGTTATTGGATTAAGGCCAGGAAAGCAGATTCTATCGCTGCACTGTAATGTATCGCAGACTCGCACTGAGGTTGAATTGCTAAATGCAAATGTAGCTGCTTTTACCACAGACTTGCACTGTGAAAAACTTCCCTAATCACTCTGGTAGACTCACGTAGCATCATAGGACATTGTGCATTTCCTCTGGAAACGTCTTGGAAGCTTCCTTAGGGTTGCTTCAGAAGAATATTGACCTTGTGCCAGAGGGAATGAGCATGAAAAATTCCATGAAAGGAAGAAAAGTACCAAGAGATTTTCAATATCTAGGAGGAACAAGTTCTTTTCTAAACAGGCATCATTCTGGCAAAGATAAAACAAATACAGTGCTTAGGCATGAGTACTCATCTTAGTGTGTCTCTGACAGAAACTTGATGCTATTTTATGCATTTTATTTTTCATGTGGGTTGTTTCACAACAGTGAAGTGAGTTATTACTCAGTTTGATGGCCAAGTATTTACTTCCCAAGTCATTGTCTGCCCTCCCTCCCTGCCTCCCAACTCAAAAATCACCTTCATTCTTTTCTTTTGAATTAATCAATTATGTTTTAGTTCTAAATCATCAGTGTTTTCCACATTGACAATTGTATTGATTTCCATTGCTTGACAGTGCCTGCAGACTGACAAAATACATCCCTATAATAATCTAAACTGAAATAGAATGAAACCAAAATTAGAATGTGTTCAAAA